TTTCAAGCTTGAAAAATGCTCATTCAGCACAATGCACATGCCGCTGTACTGTAGCCTGTGTACACACTACACATGCAGTGTCAGTGACACTCACTGACTCAGTAGGTAGGGTACGAAGCGTCGTTGTCGTATAATGGCGTATATAATATGTACCCGAGGTAACTATCTGATATGGTTAGGGTTAGGGTTGGGGAGTAGGCATAGGCGACTGTCTGATGTCACGATCATCGATTATACTCGATCATCGGTTGAACAGAGGCTCGAACCAAGCGCTTGGTTATCAAAATCCATAATCGATTTAATCGAAAAAAAATATAATAATAATAATTTTTTTTTTTTTAAATTTGAACAAGAAAACTTGGAAAAGTGATGAGAATCAGTACATGTATTATACACACAGTAGTAAACAGTGCAAAACAAACAGTAAACAGGGCTAAACAAGCACATACATGCACACGCGTACATGCACACGACGTTACGCACACGCAGGCATTCAACACCCCGAGTAACCGATTATAACCGATCATCGGTTACTTGGGTTCAACCGATGATCGATTACGAAATTACAACCGATTGACAACACTCCGGACATACAGATCGCCGACACAGGCACTTGGAACGTCTCAATAAAAAAAATTAATGCTAATGGTAAATAAACACGAAATGTACCAAAGTCTTAATGTTTCTCTACTCTATTTCGCCTATAAGTATAATCACCTGTAAATGCCAGTCAAATATGCTCATCTGCAACACGCAAGTACACCGCACGCCTGTGTAAACGCGCGTTGACTTTGGCGTTCTTTGTCTCTTTGTGCGATGTGGCTACAGTGTACAAGCTAATAAACTTTATTCTGGTTACTACAACAAGTTTGACTTTATATCTTCATCATTTTGACATCAACGCTCATTCCAACGTTACACCTGCGCTGTGCACAAACAACATGAATAAGAGAGCAGATTTATTTATTTTTTTATTAGATTTATTTATTTCGATAATTACTAAAGCATACATTACATCGATAACAGCATAAATAAACAAAATGCAGCTAGAAAAATTATCGAGGATGAAAACACAAAAAAGCGTGGCTAACACACTTATTTCCATTGTGGTTCAGCAGGTAGGAAAGCGTGATTGCGAAATTCGCTCGACGCTTGCTTTATTTCACACGATCACAGCACAAATACACATCCAACAGCTTCCATCTTGGTATCCATGTGTACAGAAATGTTCACTTGTTCGAGTTATAACGCTGGCCTTTGTTCTTACCAACTCCCGCCAGAGATATCTTGTGAAATCCTGCACGAAATGTGCTCTCCGTGAAAATGTAAAGAGGACGACATGATCCAAAAATCCCTAACGGCGCTACTTTCGATCGATCGCTGTAGTCGTATGTGTGTGACGTCATGCCCGCGCGCATTGTGCTTTGCTTGGCAGGCCTCGAAATGGAGCTCGGAGGCCGGCAGCAGCTCATCTCGGCATGCAATGCGCCGCCATTACTCATGTATAAACAGACATCTCGTCCTCTTTACATTGTCACGGAGAGAACATTTCGTGCAGGATTTCACGAGATATCTCTGGCGGGAGTAGGTGAGGCATATAGTGGCATCAGTGCAAGATTTCATGACTACTAACTGACTTATTGACTGTGTACATACTTTAGAACATTGATGACTCATGAGTAATTTGGTTCTTGTTAATACTGGTATGAAAACTATCGCAAATGTGTCGTACGATCTTCACCCTGCACGCAATCATGTCACACATGTCCTGCTGCCAGTGGACACATTACAAAATTGAACCATTTGGTAGAAAATGTCACATCGGCCACAATAGAATGGCTGGAAGTGTGGTTCAGAAGTTTCACACTGAGCCTGGAGAGGGGGTAGGCTGTGGGGTTCAGGTCATTGTCCCATGGACCACATTGGCACCTTTTCACCTTTGAGTGTTGTATGTTATTTTACTCATCACAAATGAATGACAGCTGACACAGTGAATGTATCACAATCACACAACAATATCATTCTGATTGTGATTGATGCAAATTCTACTACTGTTTGATCTAGAATTTTTATGATTTTTCCAGCATGTTAAGATGGCTGAGAATGTGGCGAATCGGTTTCCAAAGTACAATCTGCATCTTTATGGTGAAGGGTAATGTTTCATTTGTGTTACCTCTATAGTTTAATGTATTTTGCGTGGTCATGGGCACATGCTGAAATTTTGTGTGATGAAAGGAGTGTATTTCTCTTCATAGTGCTAACATGTCTTATCTCTGTTTTATAAATACTCTTCCCACCCCACTTATGTTTAAGTTTGTCATAGTGACCCTAGCATTCAAAACAGTATTTCTTTAACCTTGTAAGTCATTGCTGACATAAGTGTGATACTTGTATTTCGCTAGGCAGAATAATGTAAACGTCCACTATGCCTACTTTTCTACAATTTAATTATCATTTGTGTTCTATTAATATGAGAAATGTTGGTAAAATCAATTTGTTGTTGCAGGTCATATATTCAGAAAATGAAAAGGTATGTACACGTATATGTACCAAATTATCAGGAGCGAATTAAAACAAGTTTGTTTTTATTCACTTTCAAAATTATGCACTGCTAAATGTAAATACTGTTTCATAAATTGCACTTGAAATGATGCACAAATAAATGATGGGGGTTTGATTTTCATAATAATTAAGTGAACATTTACCTTGCCATTAACGTTATCTTAGAAACGAAATATTTTTTGCAATGTATAGAAATAAAAACAATCAAATGTGGACGAGATTATTGAATTAAGTCAATAAATTTTTTGATACAGGCAGCTGAAGCCAAAAGGTGTACCAGTGTTGTTCATTCCTGGTAATGCAGGCAGCTATAAACAGGGTATGTTTTCTGTTGCAAATCTTGCTTCTTGTTTACTTGCTGGCCCTAATATCTTAGACCCTAGCTGCAGTATGAGTTAAGGTTGTGGATCTGTCATCCAATTATCCCATGCATTAGTTTACAAAACTGTATTAGGTGCATATTTGGACTATAAGTCTATCTTCTTGATCTTGATTGTGTACTGCGTCGACCGCGTACAAGCTATAAGTAATAAGTTGGGACCCTTGGTGCATGTGTGTTGTGTGTGTGCATAGTGAGATGTAAAAATGGTCTGTTGCCTTTGCCTCTTAGTTCGATCCCTGGCATCTGTTGCTCATAGGAAAGGAAATGACATGGGTCACAAGTGGAAGTTCAACTACTTTACAGTGGATTTCAATGAGGTATAATACAAGTTTTTTGGGAAAGATTTTCATATATTGCCATTGATATATATCTATTTCATATCCTTTGAAGTAACCCTATGCTGTTAGTCTGTTACTAATATACATGTATGTTTGAAACAGAGTCATATTCTAGAAAAGTTAGTATAACATAGAAACTAAAATTTATAACAATTATTTATCACTATACTTTAAGAGACAATATTGAAATGTGGAAAACTACTTAGATAGCTTTTGAATATGGTAGAAAAATATGTAATCATTTGTGTACTGTTTGGTAATTTTGTTTAAATAGGCTACAGCTATTTACAATTGTTGCAATTATGTGCAGTGGTGGTAATGTTGTAGTATCTGTGTACCGCACTTTGACATTCATGTCTATGTTGTTTCAGGAGCTCTCTGGTCTCTATGGTGGTGTTCTAAAGGATCAGACCAAGTTTGTTCAGCAGTGCATCAAGCATATACTAGCTCTATATGCATGGAAGTCAGCACCTCCCACATCTGTGATACTTGTCGGACATTCCATGGTAGTGCAAAATGCATCTACTGTTTTGATTTCGGAGACCTGAGCAGTAGTTTGTGTTTTAATCAGAACTTGCCATGCATTCCTCTTGAGTTGTATTTTGAGATCTATTCAGTCACCTTTTTGACAAATGATTTACTTTTCTAGGCATTTAAGAGTGTTCCTATGTTTACCCTATTACTACTGGATCGATCTACCCATGTCACTTGAAAGAAATTAAATTCTAGAAACCTTTTCTAGATGAGATTTTGGATGTTTTACATGGAATTTAGCAACTTTATCATCGCGTCTGTGTTTTTAGGGTGGACTCATTCCCCGTGCACTGTTCACTTTACCGAGCTTCAACCCACAGCATGTAGATGTGATTATAACTATAGCCACTCCACATCAAGAGCCAGGTTTGTTGCATATATGATAACCAGTAGGGGTGGGACGATTCATCGATTTATCGATGTATTGTGGTACAAACCTCAAGGATACATGTGTCGATACGTTTGACTATTCGTGATACGAATTTCGATGTTCTCCTGAATAAAGTCCAAGTCATTTGATGGCATATAGTTGCATCAGAAAATAGAAGAAGCATGATAATTTGCAGTACGTTCAATAGCAGTTTTACTCACCACTCTACGATACTGATTTGTAAGCATTCATATATGATTGGTAGATCGAGTACCAGTTAAGTGTATAGTTTGTTAGGTATATGTTTCCTTGAAATTATCACGATACATATATCGTATCGTGAAAGGTATATATGTGGATTGTATCATAAAAGATGTAATGTAATGTAATGCGGATCCTATCATGAGCTACCCGTATCGACCCACCCCTAGTAACCAGCTTCTATATTTATGAGATCAGTGAACACCTGTCCAATGTGAGAATACTGCTGTCTGTTGTGATCAAGTGACGTGACATTAACAATTGGTAATAGAGAAAAGATAATTGCACTATAGTTTCTTTGTATAAAGACAAGTAATGATTCAAGTGTTGATTGTCTAACGTCTGATTCTGTGACTGTCAGAGGTCACTGATGAAGTATATTCATACACTAAGGTAGTTGGACTTGTATCTAGGAGATACAGCCACTTCATATCACATATTATTCCTTGTTTGTGAAATGGATGTGCATCTGATTTGATTAGTTAGACCGTGATAACGTTGGTTATACTGCTGCTGCTTAAATATTCATACTGGTTTGCTCTGTTGTCAACACTTTATAGAGAAATCTGCATAGCATACATAACTAGAGCACTCGGAGAGTGCAGACCTCCGCCAAGGCAACTGAATTCTCTCACTGTGAAAAATTTAATTAATTAATTAATTAATTAAATAATTAATTGGATCCGGATCACCACCAAAATGTAATCAATTCTAAGTTACCCCATTTCTGACCTATCCTGAAAATTAAATTAATTAATTAATTAATTAATTAATTGGATCCGGATCACCACCAAAATGTAATCAATGCTAAGTTACCCCATTTCTGACCTATCCTCAGGGATGAGATTCTTCCGCGGATCCGCGGAAATCCGCGGATTTGACAGTCCCAGGGGTCGATTTTGTGAAACGTCTAAATTCGTTGAGAAAATTGGGAAGGGGTAACAATGTATAACAATTTAAATTATATACCCTCAACAGCACCTGACTGTAGACTGTAGAGTGTAGACAGTAGGCTGACAGCGAAGTATACAGTGTATCTGTTTTTGCGTACCAGAAAAGGAAATCCTCGTTCACAGGCTGCAGTAGAGGGGCAAACATTTGAGGTAGCTGATCACGTAACGACCATGCCTGGCCTGGGGACCAGGTTTACATGTTGCTGCGTGCATGTTCTGTGCATGACTATGCACTGATTGTTCCATTCGCATTGTGTTTTTTTCATTCAAATCTGGTCGCAGCAAGGCAGCTTATGTCTGAGTAAAACAATGCAAGCGACGGGTGGAAACATAAAAATATCATTATGTCTAGACATTTAATAACAAAACTTGCCCTATTTTCAGCCTCCCCCCCCCCAATTTGCTATTATAGTTCGTTTGTTCCTTTTCACAACTTGAAAATGTCATTCAAGAGTCTCCTATAATTTGTTCAAAATAGCTTAGAATGCACCAAATTGCACCATTCTTTAAAAAAAATGACCTACGGTCCTCGCATTGCTCGCTCCTCTGTTTGCTAATTAAAATGTCAGCTGAAAATTAAATTATCTAATCTCATCCCTGTATCCTGAAAATTTTATTAATTAATTGGATCCGGATCACCACCCAAATCTAATCAATTCTAAGTTAGCCCATTTCTGACCTATTCTGAAAGTTTTATGACAATCCGTCCATAACTTTTTCAGTTAGGCTGTACACAAACAAAGAAACGCACAAACCCACAAACCAACAAACACACGCCGGTGAAAACATACCCTCCTGCCAACCACTTGGCGGAGGTAATAACTTGTGAAGACATTTTACAACTATTGCCATTGTTCGATCACATTTTGATGTGTATGCTCATTAACGAAATTATATTTTCATCACAGTGATATTGCTGGATCGATTCATGCAGAAAATGTATCAGCAAGTTAATGATTACTGGAGAACGAATGGAAACTCTACACTCAGTCATGTTGCCGTCGTTTCTGTTGCTGGCGGTTACCGTGACATCATGATTCCCGATGGCATTACAACTCTAACGGGTCTCGCAGCAGACGGCATGGCCATTAGTACTGTAGTACGTCGATCAATGCATTAAAAATATTATCATAGGGTTCATCACAGTAATGTGTACGGATGGTACCGTCTGCGATATTGTTTGTGTTGATTCATGATGAACAAAGTTTGTGAATTTAATTTGGATATTAAGTTGATATCAAATTATTGACTTATTGTCGATAATAAAATGCTTGCAAATAGGTCTCATACATATATGCTTACAGGTGAGGTAACGATAGACTGTTTTGTGTGCTACAATTGCTGATTTAATGGTCTGTTTGATAACTGCTGATTTTTTCTTTTTTGTTTAATTCTCAGAGTTCTGCTGTTCCCAAGGTTTGGGTGTCTACTGATCATCAATGCATTGTATGGTATGTTTACTCTGAACTTCTGCATTTATTATCGTGAAATGGAGTCTATATCGCTCTTCAAAGCTAAGACAATTTAGTAGATCAGTGTGTGTAGCCCTTCTTATCATCACTGCTTGTATAGGAAAATGGGTTGGCAAACCTGCTTGAAAAAACCTGGCTTTACTCATTTTTCTTCCCCTGAATTTGCAGCCTATAGCAACTTGTTTCAAAATGAAATGGTTATAGAGGATGAGTTGGTATTAGATAGCACCCAGTTTGTCAGGGTTTTCAACAGCAATTTATCTAATTTGTGTGAAACAATGGTGAGTGAAAATTATTACAGTTAATTAAACCTCGATTATTCGAATGAGACGGGCGGGTAGTATTTTGCTCGGATAACTGATTGTTCAGATAACTGATCTGATCGTATTACCATTAAATATTTACGGTACCTTGAGATCTTGTGAGATCGAAATTCGGATAATTGATGTTCGGATAACCGAGGTTTGACTGTATATACTTATTGTATACTATCAAAACCAGATTATGTAGACCTTTGTAGCAGACGGGAGTAGAGGGCTTACTCACTGATATAGTCCTGTCATAATATGCGTACATACGTACGTATACCCACCCACGTACTTATGCACGAACCTACAAACAATCGAACGTACACGCACATGCACATGTTCTCAGACAGTATAGATATATTCACAGCATTCTACTCATGTAATATTTGAGCAGCTGTCTATAAAAGTGCTGTTTTGTTGTAACATCTTTTCACTGTCTTGATGTGTGTGTAGGTGCCACCAGTTAGTGATGGCTACGAAGAGAGCCATGTTTGATCTCATCAAGGGACCAGCAGCATCGAAGCAGGTGTGTACTAATGCATCATTAATTTTTATTAGTCCACAACACAATTAAATCACAACAGCAGAGAGAAATGAAAAATCTTCACAGAGAAATGTCCATCAGAAATGTATGTGACATGTATTGCAAGTACACGGTGCAACTAGATACTACTTATTATGACTTTAGTATGTATCTACATCCGCTCTGGGTAAGTTGTGGTAGACATGTGGTACACGTGTCTACCACAACTCATCATGTGTTATTTTTGGCGTGGCCCGCGCTACCTGCAAGTCGTTTATTACTACGGTGGTGGTGACGGCAATGCTAGCAGTCTCCTCCACCCCCATAGCTATACATACACCTATCCAAAAGACACCTTGCAGATACACCTACATCATAGTAATCTAGTTTTATCAGGTATAACATCTGTAAAATCACTTTGTTAGGCTATGATAAAATTTCATAGCAAGGTCAAAACACGCTGTAAGCATTTACCTATTATTTTCTAACGAGCTGCCTCGGCACTTCGCGCATCTGCAGTTTTGGCGAGGCGCTGCGTGCCTCGGCTACGGGTCAGAATAATGCCCCGCGTGAGAGCCGAGACAGGGACACTTTGAAACCATGAAAACTGCACAAAATGTGCCAATTTGGCTGTATTTGTGTGCATATTTTTTGCATATCTGTCTTACCTTTGTATCAATAGTAAGAAAATTAGAACCGAGCGCTTTGCGGTAAGGTCGATGGAAATGCATCAAAATTCAGCCACGTTCACATCTAATGACGCCGCCCCTAGCAACGATGCGAAAAATATAAAAAAATTCCCAGAAGATGGAGCCATGATGTTGTACGATAGATTGGTCTAAAGCTGCGTTTACACTATAGATTTTTGTCAGCAAATCGTACCGATTTCAAGTGCATTCCAACTAATCAGCTGAAAATCGATAGTGTAAACGGCGAGTCGGAGTCGGAGTCAAGTCGCCGAGTTGGAGAAATAGAACGTGTTCTATTTTGCACGACTCGGATGCATGAAATCGGCGAGTTGGATAAATCTAATTGGCTTAAAACTTTCACGTGATACGTGAACTTTGACGTAGGTGTATTGTTGTTTTTTCAATGTATGGCTTAACTTGCCATAATATGTAGTCAAATTCCTCCTTTGACATCCGAAGAAAGTTTCGGTAGCTTTCCTTGTATTCGTTTAGTAATTCGGGTAATAACCTGTTGTAAACGCGTAATTGGGGCCTTCTGCCTATCCTATTTTTTTTTCACCATTAATGCAATAAGCAGGTGCGCACAGACGTCTTCTTCTTCCATTGACCATTTCTTACTGCAGTGTTTCAGTACTGCAGTGCTGCAATCTACATACAACTACAGTAATAGGGGTCACATCGGGGGCAAGATTGACAATCGGTACGATTTGCTGACAAAAATCTATAGTGTAAACGCAGCTTAAGTAACCATGCTGTAGGAGTGGTACCCACGCACCAGTAATATCGACCAAGTGCGTCGCAGCAGCAGCAGCAGCAGCAGCAGCAGCAGTAGGACACGCCCAATATATAAATAGATATGCATTTGTAATCATGAAAACCATTTTCTATATCCCTCTGACAGGGCGTTCGCCAAGTGTATGCCAAACCAGCTCATTGTTGCTTATACTGTTGATAATATGCAATCTTTACACACAAATCAATTCAATCCCTCAAAAAAGCAAATGTAGACTTCTATATACTCGCGTGCATTACACACATGCCAAAAGAATCTTACTAACAGCTCGCTGTTAGCCACCCTTAATTGAGCGATCATAGAAGACTTCTAGCAAATGATCATATAAGACTTAGTAGAAGAGATACGGCACAACAGCCATGTAGTAACTAAGGTTCACATCGCTCGACAACTGCCTGGTTAAACACGGTTGTTGATGATGATTATTGTGATCGACGTGATTAAACTAAATTTGTTCAAACTCTAGTTGCTCATAATAAAAATTGAGCTGCACCTAGTGGTGAAACCATGTGAAACTTCTAAATTTGGTAAAATGTTCCAAACGGGAACTGTTCACCGTTGGTTTCTGACCAGAATCGTTATGATGATGTCGTTCCACGTTTGCACAGGATAATAGATTACATCACTCTAACCTGCATCCGTACACCTCAAAGCGAAATCCTCCAGCGTTACTAAACCCTCCGTCGTGATACGTGTTTCCCGCGGTGATACGAAGATATCTAGCCGTGAAATCAAGCTCGTCATGGACGGGGGTGTCTATATCGATGTTACCATTCAGCTCCTGTAAGAAGTTGCAAGCAGCTTACGACAGTGCCACTGTTGTATATCCATTAGATGACTGGACATTCTCACAGCTCTAACCGAAAGTATTTAATCAAGATCAAATCTTTTTTTTATAATTTCTTTATTTTCAGGTATGTTACAAACGTTAAAAAGATAAAATCTTAGTAGTGGGTAAAACAGCACTTTTTATTTGATGTCATCCGCGTTGGTTATTTACGTGCAATTAGTTTACCGGCAAATCTTCCCAGCTGCTTCCATCGAAGGAATATGACAGAGTGTACTTTTTAAGCCATCTCGCAATATTGCATGCCTTGCATCCCTGAAAGTGACAAAGACAACAAAATCTCTCAGATGAAATCGGCTGCGAGGATGAAAGTTGAATTACTAGCTTGCTTCTATTATGCAAGGTTGGCCACAAATATCTTTAGTTTTCACGGCATGCTGTGGAATCATACTGTACACCTCACCTTGTGTGTAATTCCAACCAACTGTGCCTTTGATCCCAGGTCTACCGTCATCTCATGGTTTTTAAGAGGCCCCCACGCCTTATCTTGACCAAGTCGCGCATCTTCTACGGGGCTACTGTAGTGTTCTCCCGATAGAGCCTCATCTGGTATAGTTTTGTCAATCATGCCCAGAGGTGTAGCTTTATCCATCTGCACCGAAACGTTGTTTTGGTTATTTCTCATTTCAAGACAATATCATAGTGTTGAAAGTACTAGTTAACTAGTAACAAAACAGCCTATGACATCTGATCTAGCTTACCAGATAGAGGAAATCCCAGCCAATGGAGTTAACTAACTTGGGCATAGCTCGGTACCAGTCGTCAGAGAATTTCTTGCACTCCCTAGTTTCTTGTTTGTAGTTGACGGAGAAGCAATCCGGATCGTGTATGCAGGTTGCCAAACACGTTAGGCTGTTACGGCTGGAACTGGATTAAACGAAGTGTGTTAATGCTGTGACTATACTAACAATTGTGGTATGTGAGCGAGTGAATATGAGATAGTGCATGCAAATACACAACTGCTAGATGATCTCCTATAGTCATTTAGCTGAGGTTTATTTAAAAAAAGGGGAAGAGCTATCGATAAGGTGACAGAAAAGGTCTTGGTAAGCACATCATCTTGACCGTGTAAGTTGTTTAACTAAATTGGTTGCACAATACTGTTCATGTAACAAAATCGCAACCGATCGTTTCTACATACCTCAGCGTCAAAGGCGTGGTACCGTTAATCTCGTTGTCCTTGATTGTTTTCCCTTGAAACGCAGCGTTGGATCGTAGTGTTGCCCCATCCCAGTCGTGACAAGTTAGCGCACAGACTGACTTCAGTGAGCAGACTAATAGCAGGAGAGCAAGCATCGTCATCATCTGCTACGGTGACAGAAGCTCATGCAGCCTTGTCTTGTCGGCCTTGTCAGTGCACCACTGTTATTTATTGTCTCTCAGCTTGCACCCTGTGGCAGGGGCGAGCACAGACTCAATGATGGCTTCCCGACTGCTGCCTACGCGCTGTCTCTCGCTCGGAGTATACGAATGAATTTACGGCTTATCGTTGTACCACTCCAATTACTTTGGTGCCTGTTGCCTGTATTGAAATGGCAGCTAATAGCTCTTCACATATATGATGATCCTGTGTCACCATCGTCCCAGGGGAAGCTGACTGCATGGCTTGACAACAATTTATTCTTGCTCTCCTGAATATTTCTTAGGCCTTAATGTAGTTGGCATGGTATAACCGATGCTATTATGACCTATCATTGTACCACTCCAATTATTACTCTGCTGTCTGTTGCCGAATTGAAATGGCAGTCAATGCCCTGCACATATCTCTGTCACCATCGACCCATGGGATGCTGACTGGCTTGGCATCAGTTGATTATTCCTCTACTGCGTACTTTTTAGGCCTAATATGGTTGCCATGATACAAGTATATGGTGCTATAGAATATATCAAAAATTTATACTCACTATTACTGTTGATGGATATTTTTTGGCACACCATGAGGACACCAGTGAGTTGATTATCTAAGTGCCACTGGTGTTTTTCACAGCAACGCAGCTTTTAGCAGTAGCAGTTTAACTAGCTGTGGGTTTTATCACCCTGTGTGTGTGTATGGTGCACAGACATGCAGCACGTACCACACACAGGAAGGGGGGGGGGGAGTGCACTGTTTAACATTTTTCTGGTGTATAACCATATTATTTTACGCACCTTACTAGTGTGGGCCTGCCCATAGTTAGGATTATGGCACTTATAGAAAGGCAGACGGTCAGTTTACCTGCTTAATAAATCAGCTGAGAATGAAAAATCAATAGTAGTAACAATAGTAGCATTAACGGGTCTACAGCTCAGTTTCTAGCATCTACACGGCAACACTAGACATTTGCCTCACTTATATAGCTGATTCCTGTTTACTCGACTGCTTAGCTGCCATTAATCATTGGATCTCAAACGTGAGCACTTCTTATATAGTCTCTACGTGATAATTATGTTCACACCAGTTTCCGTCGTTCAGGTAACAAAGGACTCGGCCGAAAAGATGAGCATTTTAAGACACCACTTTGTGAGCAACTACGGACCAAAGCATTATGGTGGTGTAAGTGAGATTGTGGATATAGACCAGTCTGCTACCTTGCATGAAGAGAACAGCTCTGCATGGACCTTCACGAGGAGCAAGGTGACCTACCAATTAACTACTGATTAAAAACTAACTATGCTGCGACTGTTGGTAACTATTGACATTAAAGGCGACTTACTGGCTGTATTAGGTGACCATTGTGGGGCATTGATATTAAAGGTGTCCTACTAATTATTTACGGGCCTTATTGACTGTGATGTGACCTTTGTTTTCCTAATTGTGAGGAATTACCAAGCCAGTAATCAAAATATGAGTGTTAGTATGCCCACATAATGCGATTTTGTTACCACTAAGTTAGCAATGGCACCGACACATTCTGAATCACATGACTTCTTAATTATTGATGTTTTAGATATTTGTGGGCATGTTTCAATAATATAGTACAGTGATGTGTTTTCCATTGTAATCTTATTCTATGCTAAACGTGTTCATGCAAGTGTCTCGGTACCTTAGGTAGGCGAGCCTCGATATATTGAGGTGCCATTAACGACGATGCTGGACACATTTCTAGTCATCACTAACCAGGTACGTACATGATCAAGGAACAGGTGAGTCTATGGAGTAATCGATACAGGCTTAGTCGTTTATCTTTGTATGTGTGTGTGTGGACGTGCACACGTGTTTACGTGTGTGTGTATGTTTGTGTGTGTGTGTGTGTGTGCGTGCGTGCGTGTGTGTGTGAGTGCGTGCGTGTGTGCACGAGCATGCGTGTGAGTGTGAGTGCGTGTGCGCGCGCACGTGTGTGTGTATGAGTACTTGTTTTCCATCAAATGTACTCATTTTTAAACTTAACTAGCATTATTTTACACCTGATAGAATGAAGATGACTGGATATTTGCTTGTATGAAGCCAAAGGAAGTTAACTCAGAGGAAGCAGAACATGCTGCAGATAAAGCAAGCAGCAAGCAGCGATGGTACGTGCAATCTACTAGCTATGTCATGTTGGTTTATCAGTGCACTACAGCATCTGTGATTTTTCATATTAATTCATTTATAGTCCCAAATAATGTGTAATTATGATTCAACAAAAAATTCTATAATATCAGTAAAAATGTTAGGTATAGTTTCAGTAACAATGAAACAAACAGACAAACAAGCAAGAACTGCTAACAGACTAGTATGGTACCATGTCAACATTTTATACAGTATACTCCACAGTAGTAACTAGGAATAGGTTATCACTTTACCTATATGTTATTATTTATTCATCAATCTCATGCCTTTTCTGAAATTATATAAACAAATTATATAGTTCACTTCATTATATACTATACTCATCGCCGTCTAGGTGCTACCACGACTTCTACTCTGGCTTTTCTACTGTTTATTGATGGAAATTAGCACAGCAGTGCTGAAAAATATCGAGAACAAGGACATTGCTAACATATAGTAATAATAATAATAATAATAATATATAGTAAAGCTAATATTTACTGGTATGATGAATGGTCTGTCTGTGTCTACAGCAATGATGCAACGAATCTTTCACACAAGACACTGCTTTTGCCAACTCGTGAGGGTATGTGGAAGACCATTGCAATAAATACTACCAACCTGGCAGGCTACTATGACACCATCATGATACGAGTGGGAAAGTCGGACAAGAAGGTAATGAAACGTGTTTATGCTGTGTTACTAAAGTGTTACGTACATGGATTATCTGAGTGTGAGTTGATGAGAGGAAAAAAATGTGTTTTAACATGTGTAAATGAATGGACAGTACCATATAGAATATAGTAGATGGATGGATGGATGGATGGATGGATGGATGGATGGTTACATGCATGGGATGGGATCGAATGGATAGAATGGAATGGATTTTAGAAACGATAATAACAAGCTTATTGTACTGAAGCTAATATAATTCACTACAACCTATCTGTGGCTCTGTTTACTGACTGAGGTCAATAAAACTTGCTGAGGGAAGAATACGTTTGCTAATTGTTGATTGGAAAACATTATACAAACATAGATAGATGGTATTTCTCGTAAATCTCAGGGTACTCGAAGATGGACCTTTTAAGCTCTGGAAAAGTTCTGACAATTATTTACCTCTGAACCTGTCAATGCTTAGGTGGAAGTGTGGGCTGAGCAGTTTGGCCATAGGGAAAGACGGGCAGACATGGAGGTGCCTAGCTTCTGGACCTTTCATAAAGCCACAGATGTGTTGGCACTGAGCCAGGGTCAACTCTACTACGAACTGTCACTGGGGAGTCTGGCGAGCATCACGCAGGCGATCACTGTGTCAGTTCAAGCACATGACTGCAAGGACGAACGTGGCAAGAACGTGACAAAGGGTATGCTCAGAACACAGTGTAACATCCTTGAACTTTAATTATCAATCAAAATAAATCATGTAACAAATAATTTGGGAACTACACAATACACAAATACCAGTCATAGGATTTCATTATGCAATGATGCTTGTGTTCGAGTAATAGGTCAGATGGCGTTGAATCAGTTATTTTGGCTTTGTGAGATTTAATTCAGCACTTACTCATAGCTATGAATATGCGTGATTTTGAATGTGAGTAGATTTGCTTGAGTGATTGGATATTTGCATCGTTCTCTGGCAGGTGAGGTTGGAGTGATGAGATTCCTAGTACCATGGAGTGCGCAGAACGAATACAAGCATATCAGCCTCGAGTAAGTTAAATCTTTATTGCATGTAATTCAAATACAAATACATGTACTGAAGACGGTCTTTTTCACGGAGGAAATATATGATGGATAATGCGAAAAAGCTAAAAGCAATTAAGTTATATTTATTATTAAATCATTCGGCTGGATAAGACAGAAAGTCAAAATCGTGTAAGTGAATCACTGTTTGGAGATGGCTTACCTCACCAGAATTAAAACATGAACTGCATTAAACCACATAAGCCTCATCTACATGACGTTTCCTTAACCCGGCTTAAGAACAGTCGGGTTAGCTTAACCCGGGATAAGAAATGCGTAGCGTCTACGCGAACACCACCCGCTCCACGCTTGCTTGAGCGGTTCTGGCACGCGAGACGTTCCTATTGTTCTATTGTCTATAGTGGACTATTGTTCACTATTGCCGCCTATCGCAGGGTTAAGGAACTATGCGCTAGCCCGGGTTAGCATGCAGCGTCTACACGACGCTTAACCCGAGACAGCTCTTAACCCGGGTTAGTTAACCCTCTTCACATCGCGGGGTTACACTAACCCGGTTAAGATGCCTAACCCTGGTTAAAAATCCTCGTGTAGACAGGGCTTAAGGTTTGCGTTACCACTCGTGTAGACGCTTGCCTACAATGTGAGAGCAGAATGCCATAATTCAGCATGTCTTTTATTCAGTTGCTAGAAACACAAGAAATTCAACATTTCCATGTCCTAGTTTACCTATGATTTATTATATGAAACTCAATTAAAATGACATCAGTAGTAACATTGTACATCCAACTTTCCCTCACACTTTACCTTGTATCGATACCTCTTTTTATCTGTGTCACATCATATAATCATATATTTCAGCGACGAATCAGTGGTTTGTCCCAGCAGTAAGAGGCGATATACCGCCAGGTTGCGCCGCTTATGGCTTTGTGTGCGACAACACTCGGCTGCTGGTGTTTGGCGGGATGGTTGAGTATGGAAAATACTCTAACGAGCTTTACGAGCTGCAGGTAATTATATTGTCTCCCATATAGGTGAAAGTTCATTCACAGAATTGGTTGTTTGGTTGGTCCTTTGCATTAACAGGGGCAAAATTACCAGGCTCTTTCTAACTATTATTATTTGTTATTATTATTATTATCTTTATTATTATCTTTATTATGTTATTTCTCCATCAGCAGTTCGCACAAACACGGCCAGATAACGCTGAAGCTGCAGGCAGCGCCACCAGAGGGCGACACCCGCCATGCACAGCTGCAGATGTGGCTGCACCCCCGGTGTCGCTACAGCATTGCCATGCAACCTGAACCTCAGCAGCTGTTTGGACAGGTAAGCTACATGCCAGTGTGGGCAGGTAGCATTAATACTGCCTAGATATATATTAGACACGTAAGCTACACGCGAGTGTGGGCAGGTATAAATGCTAGATATATATATACAAGACAGGTATGCGAAATCTTAAGGAGTGTTTGAACTTGGAGTAATCATTCTGAATTGATTACTCCAAGGTTTGAACAGGTAAGATAAATCCTACATATTCACTAGATAGGTAAGCTGCATCTTAGGTAGGGATTCAATAGGTAAAATACTTCCTAGATAACGATTAGAGTGGTAATCTACATCTTAGGCAGTGTTTGTACGAGTAAAATATTTTCCAGATATTCATTAAACAGGTAATAAAAATGTAGCTTATAAGCTACATCTTAGGCAGAAATTGGACAGGCAAAATACTACCTAGATATTGATTAGACATGAAAGCTGCACGATTGATAAGGTCTGGGTATAGATAGACCGTTACATATATCACAGACACGCAGGGTAGAACAATTGCTTAAGTAGCTCTTGCTTTACAGATAGTGAGACATTACGGACACCTGATCCCAGTCAACTGGATGATGAATCTGATGTTGATTCTAGTGTGGCAGCTACTCACTGTTGCAAGTGATGGTAGAGTTTATTATTTTTCTTGGTTACTGTTCCAGTTAGCATTTTGCAGCCATGGTAGACTCCAATACTATAGACTAATTTCACATATCCTGGATGCAGTTTTAATACATGGCATTACTAATATAAATAAGCTTGGCTTATACATAACAGTATAGTATATATGCATGCCATCTGTATAAATAAATAAATAAATAAATAAATAAATAAATATATATATATATATATATATATATATATATCAAGAGTACATAATGGGAGACATAGAAAGGGTACGTAATCTCCCATTATGTACTCTTGATATATATATATATGACAAACGATAATGCAGTATAATGATTGTTGACCCTGTATTTTCCACAGGAATGTGTGCAACATTTGAGGTTTCACACCTGGCCTTCGCTAGTCCACACAGGGTGCTTATCGTTGGAAACCTCATCTCATATGTGCTCTGGTAAGAGAACAACTCTGTTCATGTTCAAGCAAACTAATCAAGATGTGAAATTAATCAGTAATGCCTGCCGACTTAATATATATTTTAAAAGGTAGCGTGTTGAGATGTATAAGAAAAACATAAGTTTGATTGTTTATTAAATTTGTGATTTTTAGTTTGCGAAAATTAGGTAAATAGTTGCTTTCGAATTGTGAATTTAATTCTCTATTTGGATTGTGAATGGGTCGAACTGAATCTGCCCTATAAAAAATCATATATACATTATGTGCATTAGTTTACCTCGCATGTTTGCATTGTGCAGTCAAACCCGTATATAGGGATCGCTCAATTGTCAATGAAAAACTCTAAATGCGTCTCTTATAGACAAGTGTCCATTTCACAGAGGTGAATTTATTGTATAACTGCTGCTCAAGGGTAAAACCAAGTCTTAAAATCTTCCTTTAAAGATGTGTCCTCAACATCAGAGTCCACTAACACAAGTATTACGTACATGGCTTAAGTATATGACCCATAAGACTTACACTGTATAAATTTACGCTTCCAGGTCAATTGGCTGCGATAATCTCAACAGACTAGGTATTCCCATGCCGGATAAATATCTGGAACCAACTCGTCAGCCTGGTTCTCAGTTGTTTGCAATCTTCCTCTATCTGGTGGCGTACTTTCTCACAATGGTTGTTGCCATGGTGCTGTCATTGATCATTAGGATTCTTGCATTCCTGATGTCGTTTATCGTGCGAAGGTAATTAATGATTGAATTACACTCATCAGCAAGAGTTGGACATGTCGATTGTTTAAACATCGTCTTATTACTTTTTCCAATTTTCTGAAGTTTAGTAATTATTATGCTGAATTCTTTCTATGTGTATGATTTCCGTGTTACCGCATTTTCTGTCGTATTGCTGCATTACGACGTTGAGGTTTGTAATGTTGGTCGTAATGCAGAGTTTCATTCATCGACGCATTATCTTCTCGTAGGAATATTCCATTCCTTGGATACGCTGCTGTGCCACTGCTGCTTGCTGTGGCTTTCAGAATGTGTGGAAGTCTGGCATTAATTGTGGGACTCGTCCTCTACGCGATCAAGGTAATGTGCATTCTGTGACGGTTCTAGATACATAGACATTGTTGCCGCGTGTGTGTTGGGGTGGGAACCTCAGAATTGCTAAATTATATATTTGGCTAACATCATTCATTCGATTGTAAAGCATTCGTAAGTTGGACGTGTAGACCAAATGATTTTCGTCCAGCTGTGCCGTAATACAGCAACGATAATGGTGATGTATGAGCAGAAACTTATGGCTTTTCTATATGGCAGGTTGTGTCAGCTCGTGTGAGAATGGATGATACACCAGCCACAAGAGGGCGTTTCAATCGCCGGTTCACGATCCTACAGCTCTGGATCTGTGTGACTCTTTTTAACCTTCCCTCAGCGGTTGTCTGGTTTAAAAACCTAAGGTGAGAAATCTCGATCATGGTCTCCTATATAAAACCCGCGTTAACCCTTAAATTGTAGCGAAAATGCACGTGACTTTTAGTGGCCACCTCAGACCAAGCTGTTGTTATACTATTACTGGTGCTGCTCCTTACTCGTTCTATGTGTTTTCCTGTTGTAGTTTCATACAGAATCTGGAGTCGGACCCAGCAGTATTCCACGCACTGGTGCTAGCTCTTGTATTTCCCATCGAGGAAGTTATCGAAAGGTTCGTATATTGACATTTAAAAATGTCTTTTATTTAATATTATATAATAATCATTATTTAAAAATCATTACACTCCTTGTTTTCTAACGAGGGAAAACATGTTGATATATTTCACTGATACGATAGATGTAGCATAAATTAGAAAACAGAAGTGAAACATGGAAAAAAATGGAACTAACGTCATGCATCTGTAACTGTGATTTTATCATACATTCATATTGATTTTAAATCCGTTATTTTTACAGTTACATTATTTTGCTTCCTCTTTTTAGTCCAACAGGTATCAAGCTGGCTGGGTACTCTAGTTATGCGCTTGCTATCATGGTTGGTATCTACTCCACCCAGAATATGTACAGAGCCCCATATCTAGCCTCTATCGCCATGGTGATAGCTTCTGTTTGCAGTGTTAGCATGCCAGGCGACAATGCACAGATGGAAAAGAAAACCAATTAAAGCTATAAAAAAAAAAAAATTAATGTCGAAGATAATTAATAAGCTACTGTAAAACGTATGCACATACATGTGATAGAAATAGTTGTTGATTTTGAAGAGATGTGATTAATTCAGTGATTCAATCAATAATCTAATATAATGATTGATATTTTGATCTCAAATTCGGTGTGGGTCATGTTTAGAGACTGTAGCCAACAGCAATGCTGTGAGATAGTATTAGTATAGTACTGTATATTAGTTAGGGTTGATAAAGTAGTGATGTCTCAATTCAATTCAGTGTGTTTTTGATAAAAGGGGACCAAATGTGATTTACGCGTGCTTTGATTGACATTGTGTAACAGAGCAGCTGTTTGTGTACTGTCGTTTATACAGGGTTTCTGTGAATGAATATAGATAGTAATTAACATAATTAAGACGTGAGATGGTGATGGTGTGTTCCATATAATAATATTGAGATCATTCTTGTAATTTGCTCAGGTGCACAAAATAGTTGTATTTTGCTATGCGTATGATTGTTTACAGCGTGAACGTACTAGTATACATAGGTGCATGCTTATACTTATACAAAACTGCAGAGTAGATATTATATGAATGAATCATTAAATGAAACTGGATGTATAACTTTTTATATAAGATTTTAACTCTTCAATGTTTTACAAATAAAACATGTTGCTAAACTTGAACGTTCCGATTTATGATAATTTCATTTCGGTTGTAAAATAGCTCACTGTCATACATTGCACGCACGCACGCACGCACGCACGCACGCACGCATGCACACGTGCTGTATCATAGTCCCCACACCCTTTGAAAGTCCTTAATTTTTCCTTTTGTCATTGAAAGTCATTGGAAATAGGTCCAGGTCTTTGAAAAAATAATTCACACTTTTGTGGGAACCATTACTGAGTAGGGAATGTACCATATAGAATCAACAGTCACGAAAAACCAATACCAATAATACCTTTTCATTCAATATCTGGTATTCTATCTATTTCTATCTATCTATATCTGATATGTCTATCTATTTATATGGTACTTTAATCTATATCCTATCCGGTTAAATTCTCTCGGAAATAAGTGATCCCCGTCTCCCAAATGGTATCGCCTACGACCTCGTTAGAATGGTGAATTTTATTCAGGCAAATGGCTGATTTTTAACCTTAACTTTTTCACCCGCCAAAGCACAAAATATGATTGTACGGCTATAATACATAAATACGCGTTTTCTACAGTCAGCACAACAGCACACACACTCACACACTCACACGATCCGACACAGCACAAACATACCACTAACGTACGCGCACACGCGGGTATCCGGTCGCACCGCACGACGCGTGCCGCGTCGTATTTGATAGCGCGTAAACGTCACATTTTGCGCCTCGCGGGGTGAAAAGATTTCAAAAGCGTGAAATACGGCCATTTACCTGCCAAAGTTTTTTCCATGATACCATCGCCGCAGGAGGGAGCGGATAGGAAGTGGGCAAGGGCAACAGAAACCGGAGAAAGGCCGCTAGTATAACTATATAATAAATATATATATATCAACGAAGTTGAGAATAATACGCAAGATAAATAGAAATTCCCTATATCTTACTTCTGATATGTGTTGTTCTTTGCCGCATAGCAATGCAATAAATGAATTTATTCACTATATGACGTTGCTTTGCGAGTTTATGCTTTGCCAGTTTTTCTTGTTCTTCTCTCTCGCCGGAATCTCTCGCGTTCCATAGTCACGCTGAACTGAATCATCATCCACCATCTTGTCCTGTGTTGTTGTGGTCGATTGTTTTTAACCGTGATAACTGCGAAAGCGTGCATAATTAGAAGTAAAGCGAAACCTGACGTAGCGTTAACTGCAATTTAATCCGCGGCCATTAACGGCATTGGTTCGGTTGTTCAAGCGTGTAATAACACAGAACAGTCTATGTGAATCATACTCTACGGCTGCATTAGAATATAGCATATATTAGTTCATGAGATATAGCAGTGTATACGACCACCACGCGTGTCCTATAGCTACTCCAGTTGGGAGCGGAACAACGCAACTACCGAATTTACATAGTTATTCGCAACGGAACGTGATCAAATCGTACATTAAATTTCATTAATGCTCTTTTTACTCAGAATGTGGGAAATATTCCCAGTAAATGTCCTGACTAGCGATCTATGTTCACGGATCTCGTAGACTCTAAGACTGTATGTATATTTATCTGCGTTTTCAAACGTCCAAAATTACGGCCAGTGCAGTACAGTGTACTCTGTCCCCGTACGCGACTCTCCGGATCCCGTACGCCGGTGCTATATGCATGGTAACGCTGCATGTATGGTCCTCGTAGGGAAGGTGGGGCATAATGGCCACCATGAGGCGCATAACGGAACACGCTAAAAAAAAACACATAAGGAAGTTGCTGCACGCCTATCGGGATTTTGTTAAATTGATAAGAGTCCAGCAGCCCTGATGACTCCATGAAATCTACATAGACGTAGGTGCCGATCAACACAACAGTGAGACGCCATGAGAATTTTGTTCACACCTCCTGATCTAAGGTAGGCTCCATTAGTTTCTAGTCGAGGTAGTTCCCACTCGTGATGATAGCTTCTAAACAATCTGATGCATGTATTTAAATAGAATTGCCTAGGCTACATGTTCAGTGAGTTTGAACAGTACCGGCCCTACAAATAGATTTCTGTACATGGGCCTGTCAATGAAAAAAGTGTCGAGGCGGCGCAAATCTGGAACCAGTTTTGGTTATGGGCATAATGGACCGGTATGTCCATATGCCCCAGTCGGGATAATAGATGCATAACGATCTAAAGCCAACTACACAAGACGCAATAATTCAGTGTACTGTATGTCGTACAATGGCCGCATACCCAAGTGGTGCTGGGACGGACGAAGACACTGAATGATCTTATTTGTGATTCTGTGCTTAAACCCCCCCCCCTCCCCCACAGTCAAAAGCACAGTATTGATTCAATTCGCCTAATGCCACTTGAATAACTGGAAGTTTGGGGATCGAGGTGGTGACAGTGACTGTACTCGAAAAGCCACCTGCTCTATGAACACGTACCTTAGGCCGGGTTAAGCCAATAGGGCCTACTAGGGGTTCATTTTTTATATCTGTTGTAATTGATGCTGAACAATCTTCCTGCCCATGCAGATTGCATGTAAATCATTAATTTTCTAGTCTAAATCTTTAATTAGTTGTAATCTGATGCTGACACAGAAGCTTCCTGGCCCATGCAGATTGCTGTAAGGCCTAAATATAAATTTTCTAGTTCAAAGTTTTATAGCATCTGTTTGTAATTGATGCTCCGACAGATCATTCTGCCCATGCAGATGCATGTAAATCATTAATTTTCCAAGTTCAAATCTTATTAAATTAGTTGAAATTCATGTTACACAAAGACTTCCCCTTGGTTTGTTCTGTTTAAAATGCAATTTTCACATCAAAAAATGTGAGCTTTGGGCAAAATGGACCACGGGGGTCCATAATTACCCCATGGGGGGTGTGCCATCGTTGCCCAATACGTGGGGGAGAATGGCCCTTTCAGACGCAAGATATTATATTGTAATTTTTACGAAAAATTGAAAAAGAAAAAATAAGGGACCCTCACTCCTATTGTTGTAAAACTCTAATGCCCAACATGAGGTTAATGAAGTGCGATATGACACTCTATAATTGTAAGCATGTGTATGTGGGAGTCCAAGTTAAGGGGCCCGTATGCCGCCACCTTCCCCTACTTGTACGTGTAATATATTTTTTGGGGTGTACATATGTACTCGCCTCCACCAGCTACTTGGTATGCGCGCATATGATATTACGAGAGGCGTGTGGCTGAATGGTAAAGACAGCACGCTTCGTGTCTGTATACACTGCATTATATACTATACAGGCCCGTGCCAGGGGGGGTTCGGGGGGTTCGAACGAACCCCCCCCCCCGAGCCCCTCCCGCCCAAGCCAAAATTTTTTTTTTTGAAAATTTGCAAGAAATATTCAACCTCAGGTCGCTCCAATTGTAGTGTAATAATCTGAAACTCCATTCGTGCGGGAGGGTGACAGTGACACCCCCCTTCCAACACCCCCCCGCCGCTCGGGATGCTTGGCTCCCACCTCGCCTGGTCGCTTCGCGCCGAGCAGGGGGCGTGTACAGGGGGTCCGTGGGAGTCCGGACCCCCCCCTTGCTGCGCAGAAAACGCATATGAGGGGGTGGTAATTTTAAAAAATTCGCGTGCTTCGCAACTATGGGTTACCGGTTAGAACCCCGTCTGGTACAAATTCCTGTACAGCGCCCTCTGCCGAGCAAAATGCCAACATATGAAAAACGAACTGCCCCCTCCCCCCATAGAGCTGTCTACGGGCCTGTATGTATATATATTATATATATATATATATATATAATATAAATATAATATATATACTATCCTATATATTATTTTTTATCTAATTTTTCATGTGGCTATAATAATATTACCACGGCGCGGGGGCACACACCCGGGCGCGCAGACGCGCTGCGCAACTCTCTCTCTCTCTCTCTCTGCTCACACACAACACCACACACAGCACACACACAGCAAACGCACGCCAGCACGCAACGCACACACACACACACACACACACACACACACACACATGCACACACAGTCAATGCCACACACACACACACACAACACACACACACACACACACACACCCAACACACACACCACGAACATGACACACACCACACCACACACATCAGACACACAATATTTATATACAATATACACACATTATTCATTTAGAATACAACCAAAATAGAAGTTCATCTAATGTCTCTAATCTCTATATATTATTTTATGTTGTTAAAATTTTAATTTTTAACAGTTTTTTTAAATTGCTAAGTGAAGGGCTCCTTTTTGTGTCTATTGGTAGTCGATTCCGTTGGTTATTGCCGTCATAAGAGTTGTTTCTTCTTAGTGAGTGAGTTGTGTCCCTACCATAAAAAAACTTTATTTGTGTATTTGTTTTAATTTCAGTGCGTCCTCAAATTTCGTGTCTGTCACGGTTAGCAGTTGCACGAACTGGCGTTCCGAGCCACGTGGCGAGGTGTCACGCACCGGGCCTAGCACGCTGAGGCGTGCCCTGACAGTCAGAAGCCTGAGCGTAGGAAACGATCGGACGCTTTGCCGATATGATCCTTTAAGAAGCGCGGTGGCGCAACGAAAGGGTGTTTCGTGAGCCTACGAGCGAGAGGACGTCGTGTGTCGTCCAAGCCGTGCGAGAGAGAGGAGACGTGTGTCGCAGCGCGTGCGAGAGAGAGCCACGTGTGTCGTCCAGCCGTGCGAGAGAGAGGACGTGTGTCCGTCCCAGCCGTGCGAGAGAGAGAGGACGTGTGTCGTCCAGCCGTGCGTGAGAGAGCACGTGTGTCGTCCCCGCCGCCGTGCGTGAGGAGGACGTGTGTCGTCCCGCCGCCGTGCGAGAGAGAGGACGTGTGTCAGTCCCACGCCGTGGCATGAAGAGAGGACGTGTGTCGTCCAGGCCGTGCGTGAGCGAGGACGTGTGTCGTCCCAGCCGTGACGAGAGAGAAGGGACGTGTGGTCCGTCCCAGCCGTGCCGTGCGAGAGGACGTGTGTCGCGCCAGGCCGTGGGCGTGAGAGAGGACATGTGCGTCCCAGCCCGTGCGTGAGAGAGGACGC